CTAGCGGAGGCTGAAGAGGAGGAGGAGGAGGAGGAGGAGGAGTCGCTCGAGGACGAGCTGGAGGAGGAGGATGAAGCCGCCCGAGACCTCCCTCTCGATGTCCTCCGTCGCCGGGATCCGCCGCGCTTCTTATTGCGTCGGGAGGGCGATCGGGGTCTCCTCTTCTTACTGCTGCCTCCCTTGTCCCTGCATCTTCTCGGTACCGGAGCCGCCGGGACCGCGAATTCAGCGACCACCGGTGGAGCCAAGGAGCCTTCCTGGTGGGACATCGGCTCTTGCTCCGCCTCCCCGAGGGTGGGGGGAAGCTCCCATCCGGCAACCACGCCCCCAGGAGAGGGAGGCAGCTCGAGCTCAAGCAGATGGAGCTCCGTCGAGCTCGGAAGATCGATGTCGGCCGCGGAAGGGGCCGGCTCCAAGGACCTGTCGGGTGTCTCGTTCTGTCCCGTCATCGGGGCCAAGGTAGGTGGAGACCGGGTCGGGGCCGGGGAGCGGCTTGGTGCTGTCGAGGGTGACGGTAGGGCTCCCGAAGGTCTCGGCCCGATTGTCGGAGAAGGGCTCCCCTGTACAGCCGCCGGAGAACCAGCTGACGGTTTTCCCGCTCCTTTCCCTGTGCTCTTGGGAGGAGCAGTCTGCGGGCGGCCATCTTTGTGGGACTTTTCGCTCTGCTTTTTGGCCTTCTTCTTGGGGTTTGCCTGCTCAGGCCTGGCGGGAGTCAGGAGGCTAGGCCTTTCTCCGTGTGCTTGAGGGCTGGGAGCAAGCGGCATGAGGGCCCTCTCATATAAGGCCGCTTTTAGACGAAGCTCTCTGTTTTTGCGCGTCTGTGGCGTGAACGCGGCAGGTATGCTGGGGTGGTTCCGTATTACATTTATTATTTTACTCTATTACTATTACATTTACATTATTTTGCTCTATTATTTTATTGCATTTATTATTTTACTCCTTTTACTGTTATTAAAGAGATCCAGTCAAACTGGCAAACCAAAATGTACATACAATATAGGTTAACCATTATACACATATTATACACATTATACACATTATACACATTTGCAAACAGTTCCTGGAGGCTTGGAAGGTTGCTATTTCCAACAATTTATTTGTGCCATGCTTTTGACACAAAATAATAAAGTGCGGGAAAGCGCCTGACTTTGGAAATGATGGGTTTGCTTTCGCAGTTTATATGTGAGGCCCATAAACATCGAATCCCCTTTCCTTTGGAGCGTTGCGCTGAGCAGAAAAGCCGTTGGAGCGAAGACGGCTCCGTTCTTAGAATGTTTGCGATAACGTCTCTTGGGGAAAATAGAACGCTCTCGATCCCTAGAAGGAGTTGAACTGTGAACCGTTGTCGAAATGCGAGCTTCCTTTCCCCACTTCGGAAAATTGCTTTTGCTGTAATGGCAGCAAATGGAAGGTCTTTTGAAAGATAATATTTCCTGTTGATGTTAGTTCTCACGTCTCCATGGATACCAACACCAACAATCTGTTTTTTTCAGAGCCGGGAAAGCCATAAGCGTCTCGGTGCTTAGACGCCTAGGAATTTGAGTTATGTGTATATGTGTATTTATTTATTTTACTCCTCTGAACCTGTAATATTTTCCAAAAAATATCTGCTTCTTTTTAGCGACATTGCTACTTACAGCTTTCAGGATTCAAGCTGAAAGGTCTTGTTGAAATGATGAGGATTACAATAGTTTTATTTATCGTGTCAGAAGTGAATTGATGTTTGTTTGTTTATTTACGACATTTATATGCCGCCCTTCTCAGAGCGGCTTACAAGTAAAAAGTAAATACTGTATATTATATTATCATCATAGCACAATATTAATACTATATATTACATTGTACTAAAACAGTGGTTCTCAACCTTCTTAATGTCACGACCCCTTAATACAGTTCCTCATGTTGTGGTGACCCCCAAGCAAAAAATTATTGTTATTGCTACTTCATATCTGCAACTTTGCTACTGTTATTATGTAAATATCTGATATGCAGGATGTATTTTCATCACTGGACCAAATTTGAATACTGGTGGGGTTGGGGGGATTAATTTTGTCATTTGGGAGTTGTAGTTGCTGGGATTTATAGTTCACCTACAATCAAAGAGCATGCTTTACTCCACCAACAATGGAATTGAATCAAACTTGGCACACAGAACTCCCATGGCCAACAGAAAATACTGGAAGGGTTTGGTGGACATTGACCTTGAGCTTTGGAGTTGTAGTTCACCTACATCCAGAGAGCACTGTGAACAATGATGGATCTGGACCAAACTTGGCATGAATACTCAATATGCCCAAATGTGAACACTGGTGGAGTTTGGGGGAAATAGACTCTTGACATTTGGGAGTTGTAGTTGCTGGGATTTATAGTTCACCTAAAATCAAAGAGCATGCTGAACTCCACCAATAATGGAATTGAACCAAACTTGGCACACAGAACTCCCATGATCAACAGAAAATACTAGAAGGGTTTGGTGGGCATTGACCTTGAGTGGAGTTGTAGTTCACCTACATCCAGAGAGCACTGTGAACAATGATGGATCTGGACCAAACTTGGCATGAATACTCAATATGCCCAAATATGAACACAGATGGAGTTTAAGGGAAATAGACCTTGACATTTGGGATTGTAGTTGCTGGGATTTATAGTTCACCTACAATCAAAGAGCATGCTAACCTCCACCAATGAATTGAACCAAAAAACTTGGCACACAGAACTCCCATGACCAACAGAAAATACTGGAAGGGTTTGGTGGACATTGACCTTGAGCTTTGGAGTTGTAGTTCACCTACATCCAGAGAGCACTGTGAACAATGATGGATCTGGACCAAACTTGGCATGAATACTCAATATGCCCAAATATGAACACTGGTGGAATTTGGTGAAAATCGTCCTTGACATTTGGGAGCTGTAGTTGCTGGGATGTATAGTTCACCTACAATCAAGAGAATTATGAACCGCACCAATGATAGAATTGGGTGAAACTTCCCACACAGAACCCCCATGAACAACAGAAAATGTGTTGTCTGATGGTCTTTGGCGACCCCTCTAAAAAACCCCCGTGACCCCTCCAGGGGTCCCGACCCCCAGGTTGAGAACTACTGTACTAAAACATTATACTGTAATATTATTAGCAATAATTTATTTGTCGTGTCAGGGCAACCAGTCAATTATATTACATTTCTAACAGAACACAGCAAACAAACAAACAGACAAAATACAAAATTTGTGTGAGTTTGGTAGTTGATTAAATGTCCTTTGACCACTTGGAGTGCTTCCGGTGTTGCTGCAAGAAGGTCCTCCATTGTGCATGTGGCAGGGCTCAGATTGCATTGCAGCAGGTGGTCAGTGGTTTGCTCTTCTCCACACTCACATGTCGAGGATTCCACTTTGTGGCCCCATTTCTGAAGGTTGGCTCTGCATCTCGTGGTGCCAGAGCGCAGTCTGTTCAGCGCCTTCCAAGTTGCCCAGTTTTCTGTTTGCCCAGGGGGGAGTCTCTCATTTGGTATCAGCCATTGATTGAGGTGCTGGGTTTGAGCCTGCCACTTTTGGACTCTCGCTTGCTGAGATGTTCCAGCGAGTATCTCTGTAGATCTTAGAAAACTATTTCTAGATTTAAGTCGTTGACGTGCTGGCTGATACCCAAACAAGGGATGAGATGGAGATGTCTCTGCCTTGGTCCTTTCACTATTGGCTGCTACTTCTGGCGGATGTCAGATGGTGCAATACCAGCTAAGCAGTTTAATTTCTCCAGTGGTGTGGGGCGCAGACACCCCGTGATAATGCGGCATGTCTCATTAAGAGACATGTTTTAGAGTGGTGAGATGTGTTCCACACTGGGCATGCATACTCAGCAGCAGAGTAGCATAGCGCAAGGGCAGATGTCTTCACTGTGTCTGGTTGTGATCCCCAGGTTGTGCCAGTCAACTTTCATATGATACTGTTTCTAGCACCCACTTTTTGCTTGATGTTCAGGCAGTGCTTCTTGTAGGTCAGAGCACAGTTCAGAGTGACTCCCAGGCATTTGGGTGTGCTGCAATGCTCCAGTGGGATTCCTTCCCAGGTAATCCTCAGAGCTCGGGATTCTTGTCTGTTGTTAACATGAAAAGCACATGTCTGTGTTTTGGATGGATTAGGGATCAGCTGGCTTTCCCTGTAATAGGCAGTAAGAGCACCTAGAGCTTCGGAGAGCTTCTGTTCTACCATCTCAAAGCTCCCTGCTTGGGCAGTGATGGCACGATCATCAGCATAGATGAAACTCTCTGTCCCTTCTGGCAGTGGCTGGTCATTTGTGTAGATGTTGAACATGGATGGAGCAAGCACACTCCCCTGAGGCAGGCCGTTCTTCTGTTTCCGCCATCTGCTTCTCTGGCCCTGGAACTCAACAAAAAAGCTCCTGTTTTGTAGCAGGTTTCCTATGAGGCGGGTGAGGTGGTCGTCCTTTGTGACATTATACATTTTTCTCAGGAGGAGGTGATGGTTCACAGTATCATAGGCTGCTGACAGGTCTATGAAGACAGCTCCTGTGATCTGCTTGCCTTTCAAAGCCATCTTCTATGTGCTGAGTCAGGTTCAGCACTTGCGATGTGCAGCTTTTGCCTTTCCTGAAGCCAGCTTGCTGTGGAATCAGACATGGGATTATTTGATTAGACTCAAATAATCCAATTCAAAGCAAATAATTTGGGACAGGATACTGGATTGTATAGCAGTGTAGAGCCAAGCAGGGAGTAGTAGTTTGCCATTTTTGGCAGAAAGGGTGAAATACCTTGGGAAACTATAAATCCCAGGAATCTAAAGCAATGAACCATGGAGCAAGCATGCTTCCTTGTGACATGCCATGCTTCTATGGTCTTGGAACTCAACAAAAAAGCTCCTGTTTTGTAGCAGATTTCCTGAGGCAGATTCTCTCACACCAGAAGCAACTTGCAGCATGATGATAGTAATACTTATAATAATTTTAAAGATGTATTTCACTTTGTCTTTTTTTTTTTTGTCCTCAGGTGGAAGATGCTCTCTCCTACCTTGACCAAGTGAAGTTACAGTTTGGTAGCCAGCCTCAAGTTTACAACGACTTCTTGGACATAATGAAGGAGTTTAAATCTCAAAGGTATAGTGGACTGTCCATTTTTACCTTTGTTTTTCCACATACATCAACATTTTGGGTGGACTATTCAAAGTATATACGTTATGGATGGGAGTTTCATTTTATTAATGTGTGAATCGAAAACTAAAGAACGATATAGAGATTGTGCAAATTCAATCCGTTCTCCTATTTAAATAAATACGATTGGCAGGACACAGACCTTTAGAATCAGCATGGTGATACATTTCTGCATGTCTGGATCCTCTCCATAAATGCGCACCCAAGTAACTTAGCAGCAGCATGACCCTCCACCAGTAGTCCAAAATGATAAATAGAACAAAAACACACAGACCAATGTTATCTCTTTCTTAGGAGGCTTTTTTTCTAGCAAAGTGATATGGTTGTAATGTTTACAAGAACAAGGTTTCAATAGCTCTTTATTCAGTGTTCCCTCACTTCTCGTGGGTGTTCCATTCCAGCACCACCCGCAATAAGTGAAAATCCGTGAAATATTAATTTTAATATATTAAAATTAATATTTTGCTATATTAATTTTAATATTTTACTATATTAATGTTAATATTTTACATTATTTTAGCATATTAATATGCTATATTAATTTTAATATTTTATATTATTTAAATATTAATTTTAATATATTAATAATATATTAATTTTATTAATATATTAATGTTAATAAAATTATGTGCAATTATGTGCAATCTATGCTTCTAAATGATTCTAAAGTACTTACAAAACTAAAGTTCTGGTGGTGAAAACTAGGGGGCGCTGGTGCTTTGCTTCTACATATTGCTAAAGTTCTGGTGGTGAAAATTTCAGAACTCTAACAAAACTTTCAAAACTTCATTATAAATGGCATTTCCTAATTGGCTCTGTCATAAAAAAATCATCAATAATGAAATAATAATGAAATTTTGAAGGTTTTGTTAGAGTTCTGAAATTGTGGGAGTTGAAGTCCAAAACACCAGGAAGGAGGGCCAAAGTTGGCCCATGCCTGATCTATAGACAAACATGGAGGCTTCCTTCGCTTCCAACGTATCTGAGCCTCTTTCCCCTCTCCCATCCTTTTCCTTGCGCAGCATCGACACTCCGGGGGTGATCAGCCGCGTCTCCCAGCTCTTCAAGGGCCACCCCGACCTGATCATGGGCTTCAACACCTTTTTGCCCCCCGGCTACAAAATCGAAGTGCAGACGAACGACATGGTGAACGTGACAACGCCGGGGCAGGTCCACCAGATCCCAGCCCACGGCCTGCAGCCTCAGCCGACCCCACAGCCGGCTCATCCGTCTCAGCCCACGGCACAGTCTGTCCCGACCCCCGCACAGCCGGCACCCCAGCCGCCGCCGGCCAAGATCAGCAAGGTAATGAATGACCGAGCCAGAGTAGTAGCCGTTCGCCTAGGAGCAGGCAGGCATGTTGTTTGGACAGAGAAGGGCTCTGTTTTTCTTTGTTTTTGTTTGTTTTGTTTTTTTATAATACTGTATATACTCAAATACAAGACTAGTTTTTCAGCCCCTTTTTTAGGCTGGAAAAAATCCCCTCGGCTTATACTCGAGTCAAGGTTATTTATTATTTTACTCTGCTATTAGTATTATATTTATTATTTTACTCTATTATTATTACATTTACATTATTTACTCTATTATTTTATTACATGTTATTACATTTATTATTTTATTCTATCGCTATAGGTAATAGGTAAGCCCATTTACATTGAAGGAGGTTAGAATAATGGTTGAATCAGAGTTGGGCAGTCTTATCTTAAATTCTTAAATTGACTGGTTGCCCTGACACGACAAATAAATAAATAAAATAAAAATCTTAAATTCCAGTTTTGTGTAAATGTGACGGCGCGAGTGGCGCCACCTATGTGTAGAACTGTTAGTTGCAAGATTTAAACTGTTGTATCATGCTTAATCCTGCCTTTTTACTCTGCTTATATATAGTTGGATTGATTGGTTATTTACAGCTGTCAATCAGTGTTGTTTGCACCAGTTGAATTGCTTTCTCAAGCTCAATTGTTTGGCTCCACCTCTTCCTGGAGGAGGGGAATGCTTCCCTTTTTCATTCTGCCATCTAGAGTTTCTATCAGATGGATGTGAGTAAGAGACTTGGCTCTAAAAGACCCTGATTAAATTACCTCTCAGCACCAATTCTAAAGTTATTTACCCTTGGGACTCATGCTTTATGTCCAGATTGTCCTGGACAACATTGAGGAGACCCAAGCGCCTTCAAACCGGTTCTTTTGGCACCAGAGGAAGGTCTTATCCCTTCAACATAGGCCATTGGACTGGGGTTGTATTTATTCCAATATTCACAGCCATTGAGGAAAGAGGAAACAGGAAAAGCTTCTCAGCTGCAAACTCCTTGGACTTGAGAGATTGTAAAGTATATTTCCTTTATCCCTGTTGAAACATCAAGCTTATGTCTGAGAAAGATAACTCATTGTGAACAATAAATACCATTTTGAGTTATCTGTTGAGTTTTGGTCTTTGGGAGTTCCAGTTTCCTATAGGAGGGCAAGAAGCAATCCCCTGGGGAAAGATGCCACGTCCATGCCCCCAAGCGCGACAGCACAGTAAATACTCAAAAACATTTAACCTACTGATGATTACCAGTAGCCGCTACATTTCTCACCCTCGGCCTATATTCAAGTCAATACGTTTTCCAGGTTTTTGTGGTGAAATTAGGTCCCTCGGCTTATATTCGGGTCGGCTTATACTCGAGTATATACAGTAATCTTTATTTGAAATTTTCATTTAAAAGCAGTACAAAACAAAACAAAAATTTAATGTGCAAAGTCAATTAAAAAAAGAGAGATCAAAGTAAGCCAAAGCAGGAGAAACTGTGTGTGGAACATAAGAATGACAGATAAAGAAAGAAGGGAAAAGAAAAGAAAAAAAGATTTTAAATAATTAAAAAAAAAAGATTTTTACTTCCTGGTACCACTCGGGGTCTTTTTTTTACTTTTTCCTTTCTTCTCTCTCTCTTCCTCCTCTCCTTCTCCTTCTTTTCTTTTTCTTTCCATTCCTTTTTACCATCTCTCTCTTTGTTTTCTCCAATTTTTAGATCAAAATCGTCTTCTTCTTCTTTTGTTTCAAGTATTTAGTAACTTTTTCCCAATCCGTTTCTTCCATTCTCATTTCTGTATTATTTGACACGATGAAAGTGAGTCTGTCCATGTTTCTGATCTCTAGTATTTTCGTCAGCCGTTCATCTTTGTCTGGTATTTCCATCTGGCTCTGTGAAGGGAACTGGTTTAGGATCTAAGTTCCTTCCATCAGTTCAACAAGGAAATGTTTCCTCCGCAGCCTTCCCAACTGCAGGCGCATACGCCGAACAGCCAGCAGACCCCTCCGATCCCCTATGCGTCCCCTCGCTCCCCTCCGGTGCAGCCGCACACGCCGGTGGCCATCTCCCTCGGAACCACACCGTCCCTCCAGAACAACCAGCCGGTCGAGTTCAACCACGCCATCAACTACGTCAACAAGATCAAGAACCGCTTCCAGGGGCAACCAGATATTTACAAGGCCTTCTTGGAGATCCTTCACACCTATCAGGTCAGTTGGAAGCTCAAGTCCAGGGAGACACTTTGCCTCTTTCAGGAACTAGAAATACATTCTTGAGATGGAAATAGAGGGAATGAATTGACCTAGGGTGCATCTCAAGCATGGGCAAACTTGAGCCCTCCCTCCAGGTGTTTGGGAGTTGGAAGTCCCAAACTCCTGGAGGGAGAGCTCTAGTTTGCCCATGCCTGGTGCAGCGAAACAGAGTACCGGGACTGTAGCGCAGCTGGCTGCGAGTCAGCTGCATTAAGATCACTACTTACCAAAAGGTCATGAGTTCACAGCTAGCCAGGTTGGAGTGAGCTTCTGACCAATTTGTGTAGCTTTCTGTCGACCTTGGCAGCCCGAAATAATAATAATAATAATAATAATAATAATAATAATAATCCTTTATTTATACTCTGCTAACATCTCCCGAAGGACTCGGTGCGGCTTACAAGAGGCCAAGGCCCAACACATCAATTTTTGTTTTGTCGTGTCAGGAGCAAGTCGCTTCTGGTGTGAGAGAATTGGCCGTCTGCAAGGACGTTGCCCAGGGGACGCCCGGATGATTTGATGTTTTTATCATCCTTGTGGGAGGCTTCTCTCATGTCCCCACATGAGGAGCTGGAGCTGATAGAGGGAGCTCATCCGCCTCTCCCCGGATTCGAACCTGCAACCTGTCGGTCTTCAGTCCTGCCCGCACAGGGGTTGAACCCACTGCGCCACCAGGGGCTCCAACACATCAATAAAACAACAGCATAACAAATACAACAATAACTAAACTCATAAAACAAGCAATAAACATTAAAACAATAGCAGTAAACATTAGACAATAACACCATGACACATTTGGGACATGATGCTTGGAGTTTCCTATTCTGGGAAGGCACACTGGAACAGCCACGTCTTCAAGCTCTTCCTAAAGACTGCCAATGTTGGGGCTTGTCTATATCCTTGGGGAGAGAGTTGCAGACTCGGGGGGCACCACAGAGAAGGCCCTGTCCCTCGTCCCCACCAGTTGCGCTTGCGATGCAGGTGGAATCGTGAGCAGGGCCTCTCCAGATGATCAGAGAGATTGTGTGGGTTCATATACGGAGATGCGATCACGCAGGTAGGCGGGTCCCAAACCGTTTAGGGCTTTGTAGGTAAGCACCTGCACCTTGAATTGAAAGACCTTGAAAGACAGTTGCATCTGTCAAGTAGAAAATTTAGGTACCGCTTATGCGGGAAGGCTAATTTATGATGCCAGGAAAATCTCCAGCAAGCATGCAAAGAATGAAGAAGTACTTCATCAGTGTCACAAATGGTCGGTGAAGGGACAGCTCCCCTGGTGGCCAGAATACCCTCATGAAAAAGCTGGAATGTTAAATAGCCTCTCTGTGTGTGTCTATATATGTTGTGTGTCTGATTAACCGTCTGTTTCCAAAAAGGAAGAGAAGGACAGGTGGAGAGATCTTCTGCCTTCTCTGACTGGAAGTCAGCTGCATTAAGATCACTAATAAATAATAATAATAATAATAATAATAATAATAATCCTTTATTTGTACCACGCTACCATCTCCCAAAGGACTCGGTGCGACTTACAAGAGGCCAAGCCCAAATACAACAATAATAACAGCAGCAACAACAACACAATAACTCAAAAAACAAAGCAATAACATTAACAACATCTAATGATGCAATTAAAAACAATGGCTTGGCCAAATGTAATAATTAAAATTAAAAAGTGCTGGGCATGACAAGGTGGGGTGTTTGGAGGGGGATGGAAATGCAGATATCCTGGATCTCCGATAAAGTGCCTTGGGACATAATGCTAGGAGTTTCCTTGTTCTGGAAAGGCACACTGGAACAACCATGTTTTCAAGCTCCTCCTAAACATTGCTAGCGACGGGGCCTACCTGATGTCCTTAAGGAGAGAGTTCCAGAGTCGAGGGGCCACCACCAAGAAAGCCCTATCCCTCGTCCCCACCAATCGCACTTGCGATGCAGGTGGGATCGTGAGCAGGGCCGAAAGGTCATGAGTTCGAAGCCAGCTTGTGTCGGAGTGAGCTTCCGACCAAAATCGTGTAGCTTGTTGTCGACCTTTGCAGCCCGAAATACAGTTGCATCTGTCAAGTAGGAAATTTAGGTACCACTTATGTGGGGAGGCTAATTTAACTAATTTTTGAGGCCATAAAAATCTCCAGGAAATATGCAAAGAATGAGGAAGTACTTCATCAGTATCACAAATGGACAGTGAAGCGACAGCTCCCCTAGTGGCCAGAAGCTGGAATGTTAAATAGCCTCTTGAGTGTCTGCCTATATATGATGTGTGTCTGTGCCATTGAAAGTTTGCCATGTATATGCACATTGTAATCCGCCCTGAGTCCCCTGTGGGGCGAGAAGGGCGGAATATAAATATAGTAAATTAATAAATAAATAAATAATAAATTCTTACCTTCTTCTTTGTCCCATTCTGTCTCCTGACAGAAAGAGCAGCGAAATGCCAAGGAAGCGGGAGGCAACTACACGCCGGCCTTGACCGAGCAGGAGGTCTACGCCCAAGTGGCCCGCCTCTTCAAGAACCAGGAAGACCTGCTCTCTGAATTCGGACAGTTCCTGCCAGATGCCAATAGCTCCGTTGTAAGTTTACCCTTCAGTGTGGTTATATGCCTAAATGATGGATGGATGAATAGATGGATAGACAGACAGACATGGACTGGAAAGAGAGAGAGAGAGGGAGATAGCCATGGACTGTTGTATTCCAGGTCTGCTCCTGTCCTCTGGAGTATTGGCTATCCCTCCCAATTTGCAGACGACACCAAATTGGGAGGGATAGCCAATACTCCAGAGGACAGGAGCAGAATTCAAAACAATATTGACAGACTAGAGAGATGATTGGCCAAAATAACAAAATGAAGTTCAACAGGGACAAATGCAAGATACTCCACTTTGGCAGGAAAAACGAAATGCAAAGATACAGAATGGGGGACGATGCCTGGCTCAAGAGCAGTACGTGTGAAAAAGATCTTGGAGTCCTTGTGGACAACAAGTTAAACATGAGCCAACAATGTGATGTGGCGGCAAAAAAAGCCAATGGGATTTTGGCCTGCATCAATAGGAGCATAGTGTCTAGATCTAGGGAAGTCATGCTACCCCTCTATTCCGCTTTGGTTAGACCACACCTGGAATATTGTGTCCAATTCTGGGCACCACAATTCAAGAGAGATATTGACAAGCTGGAATGTGTCCAGAGGAGGGCGACTAAAATGATCAAGAGTCTGGAGAACAAGCCCTATGAGGAGCGGCTTAAGGAGCTGGGCATGTTTAGCCTGAAGAAGAGAAGGGTGAGAGGAGATATGATAGCCATGTATAAATATGTGAGAGGAAGCCACAGGGAGGAGGGAGCAAGCTTGTTTTCTGCTTCCTTGGAGACTAGGACGCGGAACAATGGCTTCAAACTACAAGAGAGGAGATTCCATCTGAACATGAGGAAGAACTTCCTGACTGTGAGAGCCGTTCAGAAGTGGAACTCTCTGCCCCGGAGTGTGGTGGAGGCTCCTTCTTTGGAAGCTTTTAAACAGAGGCTGGATGGCCATCTGTCAGGGGTGATTTGAATGCAATATTCCTGCTTCTTGGCAGAGGGTTGGACTGGATGGCCCATGAGGTATTTTCCAACTCTTTGATTCTGCCAACCTAGCAGTTCGAAAACAGACAAATGTGAGTAGTTCAATAGGTACCGCTCCGGAGGGAAGGTAACGGCGTTCCATGCAGTCATGCCGGCCACATAACCTTGGAGATGTCTACAGACAACGCCGGCTCTTCGGCTTAGAAATGGAGATGAGGACCACACCCCAGAGTCAGACACGACTGGACTTAACCTCAGGGGAAAACCTTTACCTATGAGTCTAAATGAGGGGGGCAGCTAACAGGAGATATCAAACTACTGGGAGGCTCTAAAGAGGGGATGAGAGGAGAGCATTTACAGCTTCTTTGCCTTTTGGCTAAGATCAACTGTAGGTACAAGAGTGTATGAGAAACCAGGAATGCAAAATAATCAGGATAAACAAGGCAGCATAAAATCCAATACACAAAATTCAGGAACAATCCTTTAAACTTGGAAGCATGGAACATAAACAACTGGAAACATGAAAGTAGAATTTCCTTAGGACTAGAGAAGAGATGTTGCTTCAAACTCCAACGTTGACCAGACTGCTGAAAAATCCCTCTGGTCTCTCAAATAAAGCCATGAAATCATTCTGTTTTCCCTGGCAAACTGATAACAGCTTTTTTACTTTAACAAGCGATGTGACCTTTGCCGGGTCTGTGAAGCAGCTCGGAGTTTGCAAAAACCAAGTCTCCTATCTATCAGCTCATTAACCTCTCCACCTGGCAGTTCATCCTCTAACTTGCTTCCCTTGAGAAAGGCTTCTCTAACTGCAGGAGACACCAAACGATCAATTTCAGGACTTAAAATCTCATGCTGGCTCGCAGGCTCAGAAATCCCATGATGCACTTCCTCATTGACATATAAATGTCATAAATCTATATTAAAAAGAATGTAATGTTCGTTTGTGATATTTACAGAATTCAAAAACCACTGGGGGAATTGACACCAAATTTGGACACTATACACCTAACAACCCAATGTATGTCCTCCACTCAAAAACCCCCCAAAGAAACAGCAGAAACCCCAAAAGCTGACCCCAGACTCAGAGCCCGTCACAGGCATTTCCGTTGCAACTTGGTGGGGATGGTGAAGCCAAGCAAAGCAGGGGGGAACCAGGAGCTTGGGGCGGGGGGGGGGGCAGAGCCCAACCAAGAAGGGGGGTCTGCCCCTGTCAGGGAGGGAGGACAGTTGGGAAGATAGCATAGGATATCTATAGTCCCACAATTTGTTCACGAAAGAAAACACACAATAGCATATCTACACTGTGTGTGTGTATATATAGGTTAAAGCTAAAGGTTTCCCACTGACATTAAATCCAGTCATGTCCGACTCTGGGACTCTGGTGCTCATCTCCATTTTTTAGCTGACGAGCCGGCGTTGTCCATAGACACCTCTAAATTCATGTGGCCACTGGCATGACTGCATGGAGTGCCCTTACCTTCCTGCCAGAGTAGTACCTATTGCTCTACTCACACGTGCGTGTTTCTGAACTGCTATATGAATTGAAAATTATTCTATCTATCTATCTTTTACAACTTGGCAACATACACATGTTGGCAGAGCAACAGTGAGTGCATATGGGTGTGTGGAGTTGTGAAAATATAGTGGAATTAATGCACATCCAAGATCATCCCCACAATAACTCCTCATGACATGCACTCCACCAGAGCCACTTATTTCCCGCGTGACTGTGTGTATTTGAGGGGAGAGTTGAGGAAATATAGTAAAATTAACATCCATGTAGGTATTCTCCACAACTTCCTTTCAACATAGACATTACCATATTATCCACACCCATATGTGTATGCGTGTGTGTGTGTGTGTGCATGCACTACAAGAAGGAGACAAAGAGCGAGGGAAGGTTGGCCACAGCAACGCGTGGCGGGTACAGCTAGTAAATAAATAAATTGACATTAGGCACACACAATAAAGGACTGAATTGCATGGACTGGAAATAGATTGATAGATAAATCAAGCAAACAATAGATAGATAGATTAAGCCAGAATATTTTTTATTCGGTATGTTTGACATTGCACTAGACCAAAATCAAGATAAAATTTTGACTTTTATGATGAATGATGACAGCAGCAAGATCAACTTACGCAAAACTTTGGAAACAGGAAATTATTCCAACTAGAATATCCTGGTTATTAAAATTACTGGATATAATGAATATGGACATACTGAGTTATCAAATTTCGTGCCATTCTCCAAATCCTAAAAAGAAAACAGAGTGGACATTACTGAAATGTTTTTTGAAAAATAAAAATCTGGAAATAAAAGTTAAAGAAACTAATATATGAAATACACTGAACAATTGAATTTATATACAAATAGGACTAGCAAGGTATAAATCAGTTAGGGTTGTTGTAGGTTTTTTCGGGCTATATGGCCATGGTCTAGAGGCATTCTCTCCTGACGTTTCGCCTGCATCTATGGCAAGCATCATCAGAGGTAGTGAGGTCTGTTGGAACTAGGAAAAAGGGTTTATATATCTGTGGAATGACCAGGGTGGGACAAAGGACTCTTGTCTGCTGGAGCTAGGTGTGAATGTTTCAACTGACCACCTTGATTAACATATAATGGCCTGACAGTGCCTGGAGCAAACTTTTGTAATAAATCAATTATTTTTCTTTTGATAATAATTCTTTGAGGCAAAGACAAGAAGTACCAAGTTTTTCTTTTTAATTCTTTGTCAACAATTCTTTTTTTTTTTTTTTGCTTATTTTGCTTATGGGTTATGTATTGTTTTTTGTATTATTGCTGTTATTGTTTATTGTTGTGTTGTGGGCTCGGCCTCATGTAAGCCGCACCGAGTCCCTCGGGAGATGGTAGCGGGGTACAAATAAAGTTTTTATTATTATTATTGTTATTATTATTACTACTACTACTACTACTACTACTATTATCAATGATGGCTTCCTTCAGAAATCTTGTCAGTTTGGTGTTTTTTTTTTTGCCCCTACCTTTTTTTTTTGGACTACAGTTTTATCCTTCAACCTTGCTACTTTCCTATATAGTTATAATGTTCCTCCTCTTTTATTGTATCACTATAACTTTCCCGAATAAAAATTATCATTTAAAAAAAACAATAGATAGATAGATAGATAGATAGATAGATAGATAGATAGAATAGGTATTTGCTTGTCTTGTTCTGGTATGAAAGATTGGAACCAATAATGGGTTTGTCTGTAATCCTCTTTAATCAGCTGCTGAGCAAAACGACTGCAGAGAAAGTGGAGTCGGTCAGAAATGACCATGGGGGTACCATCAAAAAGCCACAGCTGAACAGCAAGCAGCAGAGACCGAACCAGAACGGCTGCCAGATCCGGCGACATGCCACCACAGGAACCACTCCTCCGGTGAAGGTGAGAACCCATGGCCACTGCCATCACCAGTGTACAAGTTTGAAATATTTAGGATAGCCTGCTTTCTTTTTTTAAAAAAATGTTTTTATTAAGAACTAGCCATCCCCTGCCACGCGTTGCTATGGCCCAATGTGGTGATCTGGAAAATAAAGTAATGAGAAAGTGTTGGTTTCTAATATATGTAATTTTTTTATGCTTGTGGTAGGTAAATAGTATTTCTTGCTGTTTGTCAGTGTTGATGTAGAGATTGTGGTTTGCTCTTCTCCACACTCGCATGTCGTGGATTCCACTTTGTGGCCCCATTTCTGAAGGTTGGCTCTGCATCTCGTGGTGCCAGAGCACAGTCTGTTCAGTGCCTTCCAAGTCGCCCAGTTTTCTGTGTGCCCAGGGGGGAGTCTCTCATTTGGTATCAGCCATTGATTGAGGTTCTGGGTTTGAGCCTGCCACTTTTGGACTCTCGCTTGCTGAGGTGTTCCAGCGAGTGTCTCTGTAGATCTTAGAAAACAATTTCTTGATTTAAGCCATTGACGTGCTGGCTGATACCCAAACAAAGGATGAGCTGGAGATGTCTCTGCCTTGGTCCTTTCACTATTGGCTGCTACTTCCCGGCGGATGTCAGGTGGTGCAATACCGGCTAAGCAGTGTAATTTCTCCAGTGGTGTAGGGCGCAGACACCCCGTGATAATGCGGCATGTCTGATTAAGAGCCACATCCACTGTTTTAGCGTGGTGAGATGTGTTCCACACTGGGCATGCATACTCAGCAGCAGAGTAGCATAGTGCAAGGGCAGATGTCTTCACTGTGTCTGGTTGTGATCCCCAGGTTGTGCCAGTCAGCTTTCGTATGATATTGTTTCTAGCACCCACTTTTTGCTTGATGTTCAGGCAGTGCTTCTTGTAGGTCAGAGCACGGTCCAGAGTGACTCCCAGGGATGTGGGTGCGCTGCAATGTTCTAGTGAGATCCTTCCCAGGTCATTATCCTCAGAGCTTGGGATGCTTGTCTGTTCTTAAGGTGAAAGGCACATGTCTGTGTTTTGGATGGATTAGGGATCAGCTGGTTTCCCTGTAATAGGCAGTAAGAGCACCTAGAGCGTCGGAGAGCTTCTGTTCAACCATCTCAAAGCTCCCTGCTTGAGCAGTAATGGCATGATCATCAGCATAGATGAAGCTCTCTGTCCCTTCTGGCAGTGGCTGGTCATTTGTGTAAATGTTGAACATGGATGGAGCAGGCACGCTCCCCTGAGGCAGGCCGTTCTTCTGTTTCTACTTCTCTGGCCCTGGAACTCAACAAAAAAGCTCCTGTTTTGTAGCAGGTTTCCTATGAGGCGGGTGAGGCACTAGTCCTTTGTGATATTATACATTTTTCTCAGGAGAAGGCGGTGGTTCACGGTATCATAAGCTGCTGACAGGTCTATGAAGACAGCTCCTGTGATCTCTTGCCTTTCAAAGCCATCTTCGATGTGCTGGTCTGAGTCAGTTATACCTAGTAAATAAAATTCTGGCTTCATAGGGAATTTGAACTTGAAAATCTGTTGGCTTGCTGCATGGATCTTTTCTCAAAATTTTGTTGCTTCTTTGCTCCTCCACCACATATGAAAGAAACTACCCTCTTGATCTTTACATTTCCAACGGTATGGTTAGATGGCCTGCTTTGTTAGATGTGCAACGCCATGATTGTTTTCAGCGACAGATGTTACACCTTATTTAAACGACAGCGTTGTTTCGCTCGTCTTGCTTTCCTAAACAGTGGCTCAGAAAAATGAACCAACGGAATAAGCATCACTCATGTGTTATCTTTCAGAACTTTTTAATAAAAAAAAACACTAAAAACTCTCCTTTTTTATTTGCAGAAGAAACCAAAGCTCCTTAATTTGAAGGACCCATCAGTGGCAGAAGCTGGTAAACATGGGACAGAGTCTCTCTTTTTTGACAAGGTGAGGCAACATCACTAATTACTTGTTTTGTCCCGGCTGTTGGCTTACAAAAGGATCCCAGCTATGTTTGCCTGCAGCGAGGTTTACAATGCAGACAAAAAGTCGATACCATTTTATTTCCATCTAGCCGTCTCTGCCGTGCATTGCTGTGGCCCACATGGGGGTTCTGTGTGGGAGGTTTGGCCCAATTCTATCGTTGGTGGGGTTCAGAATGCTCTGTGATTGTAGGTGAACTATAAATCCCAGCAACTACAACTCCCAAATGTCAAGATTCTATTTTCCCCAAACTCCACCAGTGTTCACATTTGGGCATATTGAGTATTCGTGTAGAGTTTGGTCCAGATCCATCATTGTTTGAGTCCACAGTGATCTCTGGATGTAGGTGAACTACAACTCCAAAACCAACGGACACTGCCCACCAAACCCTTCCAGTATTTTCTGTTGGTCATGGGAGAACTGTGTGCCAAGTTTGGTTCAATTCCATCGTTGGTGGGGTCAGAATGCTCTTTGATTGTAGGTGAACTATAAATCCCAGCAACTACAATTCCCAAATGACAAAATCATTTTTTTTGAGTGAAGGACATACATTGGGTTGTTAGGTGTCTTGTGTCCAAATTTGTTGTCAATTCGTCCAGTGGTTTTTGAGTTCTGTTAATCCCACAAACTAACATTACATTTTTATTTATATAGACTAGATTGGGGACCCGGCGGTGCCCGGGTTATTTGGGAAAGGTGTTGTTTGTCTGCTCTCCAAATTGAGTCTAGGTCCAATGTCAGCTGGGTTCAGTGGGTGCGTGTGAACTACAACTTCCATATGCAAGTCCCATCGTGTATGGTCCATCCTCCTCCAAACTGCACCAGAATATAGCCAAGTGTGCCTAGTTTGGTCTTGATCAGAGTCATTGCTGTGGATTGCAGTGGTCTCAGGAAGTGAAGGAACGTACTGCAAGTACGTTCCTTCATAGTCCATGCTCCTTCAAACCACAGCAGGTTTTAGAGTGGGTCATGGTTGGTTTCTATGCCAAGTTTGATCTTGATCAGTCATTGGATGAGAGTCGCAGTCGTCTCTTGAAGTGAGTGGAAGTACTGCAAGCCCATCATCCATGGTCCATCCTACTCCAAACTGCACCAAGATGTAGACTGCGTCATGAGGGCTTTGGAGGAGGGTTGACCATGGATGATGTGACTTCCAATAACTTCACTCACATTCTGAGACCTCTGCAAACCTCATCCAATGACTGATCAAGACCAAACTTGGCACATAGACCTCTCATGACCCACTTTACGTCCTGGTGTCATTTGGAAAAAAATGGAGATGGATGATGGGACTTGCAGTAACTTCACTCACTTTCTGAGACCACTGAGACCCTCGCCAATGACTAATCAAGACCAAACTTGGCACACAGAGCCCCCATGACCCACTCTACATCCTGGTGCAGTTTGGAGGAGGACAGACCATGGATGATGGGACTTCAAGTACCTCCACTCCCTTCCCAAGATTGCTGCAACCCTCATCTAATGACCAATCAAGACCAAACTTGGCACACAGAGCCCCCATGACCCACTCTACATCCTGCTGCAGTTTTGGAGGAGGTTTGACCATGGATGATGGGACTTTGTGTGCCAAGTTAGGTCTTGATCAGTCATTGGATGAGGGTGGCAATGGTCTCAGGAAGTGAGTGAAAGTACTTCAAGTCCCATCATCCGTGGTCCGCCCTCTTCCAAACTACACCAAGATGTAGAGTGGGTCATGGGGGCTTTATGTGCTAAGTTTGATCTTTATCAGTCATTGGTGTGGGTCACAGTGGTCTCAGGAAATGAGTGAAGGTACTGCAGGTCCCATCATCTGTGGTCTGTCTTCCCCCAAACCACACCAGGACTTAAAGTGGATCATGGTGGGTCTATGTGCCAAGTTTGGTCCTGATCTGTGATTGGTGGGGGCCACAGTGGTTTGTGGGAGCCGAAGTGTTTGTACTGCAAATCCCATCATCCGTAGTCCATCTCCCCCCAAACCGCATGAGGATGTAAAGGGGGTCATGGGGGTTATTGTGTGCCAAGTTTGGTCCAGGTCCATCATCCGTGCAGGTCGCAGTGACCTGTGGAAGTGGGAGCCAATCAGAAAGCTGCCACACTGCCCTCCCTCCTGCCGCATACAAACACTGACATAATATACAGTATATAGATGTAAGTCAGTTTTAGGAAACCTTTAGGCTTCAGCAACTCTTAGGAAAATGTCCCATTGAATGTTTCCCCATTACTCACCGACTCTTCTTTCCTTTGGTTGACAAGGTCCGGAAGGCCCTGCGCAGCACAGAAGCCTATGAGAATTTCCTCCGTTGTCTGGTCATTTTTAATCAGGAGGTGATCTCCCGAGCCGAACTTGTTCAGCTGGTGTCTCCATTTTTGGGGTAAGTGGGGTGTGTTGGAAGAAAAAAAAGCACCTGCTTTTTCAGCATTTGTATCTAGTGGTTTCCACGTTAATGCTAGTCACTATATTTGTGTTGGGGAATCTGAGCTATTATAATAAATAAATAATATATAATATAAATAAATAAATAAATAAACTTTATTTATATACCGCTCTATCTCCCCAAGAGGACTCGGGGCGGTTTCCAAGTAACAAACACCAAAACATACAGAATAAATAACATATAGAATTATCAAAACAACATAAGCATAAAATTACCAAAACGACACATATATATTATGTGGGGGGGGGGGGGCAGGGGACATTTCCACCTTGTCTCCTGTGCTATGCTTATAATATAATATAATAATAATATAATATAATATAATATAATATATTGTATATACATACCATATTTATAATTTTATTATGTAATGCAATATATTACCAATAACATCTACATGAAGCCGCTGGGTGAGATCATCCGGAGTTTCGGAGTGCGATGTTATCTGTACGCGGATGATGTCCAACTCTGTCACTCCTTCCCACCTGCTACTAAGGAGGCTGTCTTGAACCGGTGCTTGGCCGCTGTGACGGTCTGGATGAGGGCGAACAAATTGAAATTGAATCCAGACAAGACAGAGGTACTCCCGGTCAGTCGCAAGGCCGAACAGGGTATAGGGTTACAGCCTGTGTTGGATGGGGTCGCACTCCCCCTGAAGACGCAGGTTCGCAGTTTGGGTGTGATCCTGGACTCATCGCTGAGCCTGGAACCCCAGGTTTCGGCGGTGACCAGGGGAGCATTCGCACAGTTAAAACTTGTGCGCCAGCTGCGCCCGTACCTTGGGAAGTTTGACTTGGCCACGGTAGTCCACGCTCTGGTTACATCCCGTTTAGACTACTGCAACGCTCTCTACGTGGGGTTGCCTTTGAAGACAGCCCGGAAGCTCCAATTAGTCCAACGGGCGGCAGCCATGATACTAACAGGAGCGGGGTGCAGGGAGCATACAACTCCTCTGCTGCACCAGCTCCACTGGCTGCCGATCTGCTACCGGGCTCAATTCAAAGTGCTGGCGTTGGCCTTTAAAGCCCTAAACGGTTCTGGCCCAACCTACCTATCCGAACGTATCTCGGCCTATCAGCCCACCAGGACCCTAAGATCTTCTGGGGAGGCCCTGCTCTCTATCCCACCTGCTTCACAGGTGCGGCTGGCGGGGACGAGAGACAGGGCCTTTTCTGTGGTGGCCCCTCGGCTATGGAACGCCCTTCCCATGGAGGTAAGATCAGCCCCCTCGCTGATGGTGTTCCGTAGAAAATTAAAAACCTGGATGTTCGAGCAGGCATTTGGTTAATTCGGTGCAATGAATGTAATGATTAAAGGTTTGGTAATATGGACGACGAAATTGGATCACGATTTTAGTCAGGAGATGCATTGGATTGTTATTGATATGCGAATATTGTGTACTATGTTTTATGGTTTTAAATTGTATACTGTTGACTGTTGTATTTTGTTGTAAACCGCGTTGAGTCGCTGGCTAGGCTGAGAAACAGCGGTATACAAGTATAGCAAATAAATAAATAAATATATTTATATTCCTACAAAGCCCTAAATGGTTTGGGACTCATCTACCTGCGTGACCACATTTCCGTATACGAACCCACACAATCTCTTTATTCATCTGGAGAGGCCCTGCTCACGATCCCACCTGCATCGCCAGCGCGATTGGTGGGAACGAGGGACAGGGCCTTCTCAGTGGTGGACCCACGACTCTGGAACTCCCTCCCCAAGGACATCAGGCATGCCCCAACACTGGCAGTCTTTAGAAGGAGCTTGAAAACATGGATGTACCAGTGTGCCTTCCCAGAATAAGGAATCCCAAGCAATATGTCCCAAATGCACTTTACGAGAGATTTAGAATTGTCTGCACGCCCACCTATCCCTAAAATATCCATCCTATTTCTCTTGAACATGCCCAGCATTTTAAAATTTTAATCATTACATTTGGCCCTGCCACAGGTTTTAAATGTGTCGTGATATTATTGTTATTGTTTTGCTTTGTTTATGAGTTATGTATTGTTGTCGTGTTTTATTGATGTACTGTCCTAGGGACCCGGCGCTGCCCAGGGTTTTTGAAAAAGGCATTGTTTGTTTTGGGGTGTTAGGTAATATCATTTAGTTAATTAGTAACACTATTTATTAGGGAAAGGCCAGTCTTTGATTTCGTTTTTTATTAATGCTTCCATTAGAAAATACCTAACAATGTGGGTGAACTACAGTTCCCAGAATCGTGGGTCAATCCTCCCCAAACCATGCCTGTATGCACAGTTAGCTATGTTGGGTGTGTGTGCCAAGCTTGGTCCAGATCTGTCGTTGGCTGGGTGGAGTGCTCCCTGGGGGAGTCACAGTGATCTGCCTCGATGCAGGGTGAACTACAACTTCCATCCTGTTGAGTCAGTCCCCCAAACCCCTCCAGACTGTTCAGCTGCTGATCAATTCCTCTGTGTTTACTGTGTGTCATAGGAAAGGGTTAAGGGAAATGCAGTGGGCGGGGTCATGCAAATTCGACACAAGGAACCCTTGGATGCCTGTCTGTGGTGGAGGAAACATATCAAATCTGGGATTAAATTCTCCCCAAATGAAATCATTCCTTGAATGGTTGGCTGTAGTGTTTGGGTGGACATTGGCAGCGTTTGGGCTACATGTTCATGGTGCTCGCCATAACCTGCAAAGTCAGTGGAGGGAGTGCCTTTGGAGGCTTCTCAGCACTTGGAACTATAGCCTGTTTGTGGAGGCCGGAGGCTGTCTATATAAGCGGACACCGCATACACATATTTTCACTTTTATTATGTGTATAGATTTGGGCTCGGCCTCTTGTAAGCCGCACCAAGTCCTGCAAGAGATGGTAGCGGGGTATAAATAAAGGATTATTATTATTATTATTATGGAGGAGGAGGTGAATTAAACTGCAAAGTCCAAATCACCCCGAGGGCCGAAGTTGGCCCATGCATGGTCTAAAATAGACTCATTTCTCTTTTCCTGTCTTTCCTTCCCACTTCTTTCTTTCTTAAAATAGAAAATTCCCAGAGTTGTTCACTTGGTTTAAGAATTTCCTGGGCTACAAAGAGTCTTCCCACTTGGAGTCGTTTCCAAAGGAGCGAGCCACGGAAGGGATCGCAATGGAGATCGACTACGCTTCCTGCAAGAGGCTGGGCTCCAGCTACCGGGCCTTGCCCAAGAGTTACCAGCAGCCCAAATGCACGGGACGGACTCCGCTGTGTAAGGAGGTACGAGAGCTGATCGGAAACTGCCTTGTGTTACTTGTCGACCTCCCAGGCTTTTTGTTTAGATGCGGCTCCGCTATAAGGACTTTTTGCCCATCACAGTCTGGTTTCAGACCTGGTCATAGCATCGAGACGGCTTTGGTCGCCTTGGTGGATGATCTCCGTAGGGAGCTGGACAGGGGGAGTGTGACCCTGTTAGTTCTCTTGGACATCTCAGCGGCTTTCGATACCATCGATCATGGTATCCTTCTGGGACGACTCTCCGGGATGGGCCTTGGAGGTACGGCTCTGTCGTGGCTCCGGTCCTTCCTGGAGGGTCGATCCCAGATGGTGAAGCTGGGAGACGCCTGCTCGGACCCCTGGCCTTTGACCTGTGGGGTCCCGCAAGGCTCTATTCTGTCTCCCATGCTTTTTAACATCTACATGAAACCGCTGGGAGAGGTCATCCGGAGTTTTGGAGTTGGGTGCCATCTCTACACAGATGACACACAACTCTACTACTCTTTTCCACTGAATTCCAAGGAAGCCCCTCTGGTGCTGGACGAGTGCCTGGCCGCTGTGGCTGTCTGGATGAGTATGAACAAGCTGAAGATTAATTTATTTATTATTTTTATTATTTACTGCATTTGTTGACCGCCGTTCTCAGCCCTAGGGCGACTCACGGCGGTGTACAACATATAAAAACAGTTTACAATAAGGCAATAACACAACAAATATCAACAACAACAATAATACAAATTACACTAAATCATCCGCGCCGTCTCATCTTAGAATCATAAACCAATCTCGTAATCCATATTCCGTTCCAGTCGTCATTGCCAATTGTTGTAGCACTTAGTCAAACGCCTTCTCAAATAACCATGTCTTTAGGCTCTTGCGGAATGACATAAGGGAGGGCGCCTGTCTGATGTCTGCAGGGAGGGTGTTCCACAGCCGGGGGGCCACCACCGAGAAGGCCCTATCCCTCGTCCCCGCCAGACGTGCCTGTGAGGCAGGCGGGATCGAGAGAAGGGCCTCCCTCGTGGGCTCATAGGCCGAGATGCGGTCAGAAAGGTATTTTGGGCCGGAACCGTTTAGGGCTTTGTAGGCCAACACCAGCACCTTAAATTGGGCCCGGTAGCAGATCGGCAGCCAGTGGAGCTGGAACAACAAGGGCGTTGTGTGCTCCCTGCGTCCCGCTCCTGTTAGTAACATGGCTGCCGCGCGCTGGACTAGCTGTAGCTTCCGGGCCGTCTTCAAGGGCAGCCCCACGTAGAGAGCGTTGCAGTAGTCAAGACGGGATGTGACCAGAGCGTGTACCACCGTGGCCAAGTCAGACTTCCCAAGGTACGGGCGCAGCTGGCGCACGAGCCTGAGCTGTGCAAATGCTCCCCTGGTCACCGCTGAAACCTGGGGATCCAGGCTCAAGCGATGAATCCAGGATCACACCCAAGCTGCGAACCTGCGCCTTCAAGGGGAGTGCGACCCCAACCAGCACAGGCTGTAACCCTATGCCCCGTTCGTCCTTGCGACTGACCAGGAGTACCTCTGTCTTGTCTGGATTTAATTTCAATTTGTTCGCCCTCATCCAGACCGTTACAGCGGCCAGCACCGGTTCAGGACTCGACAGCCTCCTTAGTAGCAGGTGGAAAGGAGTGACAGAGTTGGACATCATCTGCGTACAGATGACACCGCACCCGAAACTCCGGATGATCTCACCCAGCGGTCTGGATGAGGATGAATAAACTGAGGAACAATCCTGACAAGACAGAGGTCCTCCTGGTCGATTGTAAGCCGGATTGGGGTATAGTGTGGCAACCTGTGCTGGACGGGGTTACACTCCCCTTGAAGTCACAGGTCTGCAGTCTGGGTGTCCTCCTGGACTCATCACTTACGCTTGAGGCATTGGCGGTGGCCAGGAGGGCCTTTGCACAATTAAAACCTGTGCGCCAACTGCGACCGTACCTCAGGAAGGCGGATCTGGCCAAGGTGGTCCTCGCCTTAGTCACCTCTAGACTGG